GAAAAAGCTGTTTAAACAGCTGGTTCTAAAATCGTCCCATAGGTGCTCAGTTGGGTTGCGATACAACTGAAAAGCCTATAAAACTGTTATCAAACTCATTAAAACGGAAACCATACAAGCATTGAAACTTTCGTGCTTTTGGGATAGATGTACTCAGATCAGAGCGCAAATAATTAATCATAGGAAATATGTGATTGCCCAGAAAAACTTTGCAATAATTTGCAGTGACTGTTAACTCTAAAGCAGGAGGGAGTAATTCTTTTTCCCAAAGGACATGAGAAACTGGGACTGTTGTGTGGAGTGTGCACCAATACACTGAACCGAATTCAATTTACTTTAATTCAGCTGTATTTATATAGCACCAAACAGCAGTCACCTCAACATGGTTTATATTGTAAGACAAGGCGCTACAGTGATATAAAAACAAAAAACAACAACTGAACATCTACAATGACTGTTGGGGGTGAGGGGAGGAAGACAGGGCAAGAGACACACTGTGGAATAGAGCCAATTGTATTAAATATGAATGTATGTCTTATTGGTGCAGCCCAGGTTTTTATGTGGCCTGTTGGAAAAATGAATTGCCCACCCCTCATCTAAAGGGACAACTGGAGGTTGTTCATGGTTTTCCCTTTATTTTGTCACTTGTCTGCTGGACAACAGGTAAGAAACTGTCCAATTTTCCTACAAGACCGGGATGATTTATGAGCAACTCATGGTGTAACATGCTGCTGTCAGTGTTCTCTACTGGGAAGCTGTACAGAAGCATCCTTGTCTGCAGGTTACGACTTCAATATAAAGTGTACAATTTTTTGCTTGGCAGCGATCGCCCGCAACTATAAGCTGTCTTGCACAGCACATTTAAAACTCAGAAACAGTTGAGGTTTGACTTTCTATAGGTGAAAATATAAAGCATATTGAATTTACCATCTGACAAAAAAAAAAAGCCACGGCCTTGTCAAAGTCTTGATGTGCTGTGAAGTCGTGGTGTGTGTGAGAGAGAGAGGGGGAGAAAGACAGAATTAATACCCTAGATGGGATTTTTGATGTTGATGGTGAGGAAGAGGGCTTTTGGCATAAAAGGGGCCAGCGTGTGATCATGATGTCATTAGAAGTATACAGTGAGACAGACTGGAGGAGGCTGCTGTAACGTGCTACACCCAAGGGACGTCATTACCAGCTGAAACTGAGCAGGGACCCGAGCACAGGTCAGGCACACAGGAAGCGTGTATCTCCTACAAACGCATGCAAGCAAGTGTATTCTTCCTCGCATGTGTACACACTTGCATGAGTGCGTTTTTCCTTCAGCGCACACACCATTTCTCACAGGATGGCATCCATAAGATAACAAATGGACAGCGCTGTCTGGCCTCTGACAGCAGACCGGTGCTTTTGTTGGCGAACCAGACGAATTCCTCAATATCTAAGTGGACACCTCTACAGACAAATGCACCTCATTAATGAGCGCACACAGATGGACAACACACACAAACACACACACACAGATGCGGACTGCAAGCTCGTGCTGTGCTAAGTTGCAGTGTGTATACCAGTGTAGCCGTCTGCGCTTCATTACTGTTCACACACAGACAGTTGCAGTGTTTTTGTGTCAATGTTTAATGAGGGGCTGGGAGTCTGGGGACCTTACTGCTGTCAGGAGCTCCTGTAGTCTGGAGCTACCACCTGTTCCCATCCGCTCCCTAAAGACCTTAACACACAGACACACACACACACACACACACACACATATATGCACATTAAAATACATGCAGGCACGCAGAGGCATGCAAACAAGGAGCAGCACACACCAAAACATGCCTGCACAAACGCACACACTTGACAAACCGCATACACTGATTTAGTCATTCTGTGGCACCACTGTCAGTGTTGGATACATGTAAACAGGTTATTGTGGTTGGCTGAGCCTGGCTGCCTGACAGAAGCTACAAAGACCATGGGAATATCAATTGATACATTTCACATTCTTCGTCAGCTCGCCCGGGATGACAGCGTGAAAGCTGCTGCCAGCGAGAGTGATCCCTCTCTGCCTTTTTCTGACATCGCCGTTTGATGGAGATCTGAACCGTCCTGACTGATCGTCTCTCGCCGATACGCCGAGCAGCGCGCGCCGTCATGCTCAGGGACCGCGTCACATAATGATCTACGACAGACCTTCTCAGACAAAAGTGCAGCTGTAAAACATATAAAAAATTAAATAAATAGATAAAAGAAATGCTTCCCGTTTTTGGCAGGGTGTAAGTATAAAAGAAAAAAAAAAACAACTTTGAGAGGAAATAAATATACATTTCAAAAAACTAACTTTTATTAAAACAAAAAAAAAACAAAAAACAAAAGAATCAATTATTGACTCATTAACAAGATTATAAAACAGTGATTTAGTTACATAAATAAATTGATATCGGTGTATCAAATCTTAATTTCATAAGCATGTATACATGGGTCATTGTAATAAATAAAATGGGAGAGCAGAACATTCCTACACGAACAAAAACAACAAAAAAAAAAAACAAGAAAATTAAAATAAAATAAAACAAACAGCTAGAAAGACTCAGAGGAAATTGTTTCTGAAGAGAACAAGAGACACTGGACAACTTTTCCACCAAACACACGTGAGGAATTGCTTTGTTAAAGCATCAGTTACACAGCCATTCACTTACTAATTAAGGACACTAAAGCTGGGACCAAGGTTGGTTGTCTCTCCCCTCTTAGAACGCGTTTGGTTGTTAGATAGATCTTCTGTTTGGTTACTTTAAAGCGTTAAGACAAGGCAAGAGAAAAGGCTGCTTTTATCTTTAATCAACACAAGATAGAAAAAAGACGCAGAGAAAATGAGATATTAAAAAAAAAAAAGAGAAGAAGAAGGAGAGAGAGAGAGAAGGTAAAAAGGCAGGTAATGATGGGACAGCTTGAACTTTGCAGTGGAGACACTGGAAAATCTGCAGGGAATGAAGGAGAGAGCTGAGGACACTCATTTGTCCATGTGCAGAATTGTCGAGTTTGATGACTAATAAGTTACTTGCGCGGTTATTATATATTACTGGAACATGAGGCAGGTTCTCAGCAAAATATGTCCTTTTAAATGTACGACTGTAAGGCTGGACACATAATACACGCTCTGTTCGCCAATTAGCTCCTGTATAAAGCACATTATAGTATTTTTCCAATAGGATCCCATGGAAATCTAGGCTACTACAACAGCTTACATGCATAACTAAGTATGAAATCACGTATCGTGTTTTTAAACATTTATCCGCCACTGGCGTGGAGTAGTCTGCCTCTCTTCCCATTCTACACGTCACTCAGCGGAACAACATTTCTGACAGGATCCAGCGTCTCGTGCGTGAACACATGCGAGTCCAAAAAGCTGTCAACAAGGTCAGTCGAGTCCTTCTGATATGTTCTGTTTTGTTGTTGTTGTTTTTTTACAAAAGAGTGGAGGGGAGGGAGGAAAGCCCACACCCCCAAAAAAAGAAGAAAAAAGAAAAAAAAGGGCAAAAAGGGAGAAAGAGATGAAGAGCGAGAGAGGGAGAGAGAGCAAACTACAGCGGCTTCAAGTATTTCACATTACATAGAATACTCTGTATAAATTAGTTAACATATACTTTCAGATCCTCCATATTCAGACATATACTATGGCATATATACAGAGTACAATAAATGCTCGCTCATGTTGTGTCGTGTTTTTGTCTTTTTTTTTTTTCCTTTCTTTCTTTTTCTCCTCGAAGTTCAGTTGTTCGTATGTTCCGCCTTTTTTTGTTGTTGTTTCTTCCTGTGTAGAGAAATCCCTGAGAACGTTCTGGCTGACAATTACTGAAGGTTCCACACAATCAACTATAACAGTAGAAAGTCTAATTTCTATGATTCACATGCACAGAGGGAGGTGACACTGGCCGAGTCGGAAAACACCACGATGATGGCGGCTGTATATAGATGAGAGTGGACTGATATACTGACACATGTTGTGTGTGTGTGTGCGCGGGTGTGTGTGTTAGCTTTTTGGAGAGGGGGGTGCAAGTACCGATGCCAGGGCAGTGACGTACAGCAGAGCCAAGGGCAGAAACACTTAGCGGGAATCTGAAGCTTCCTCATAACCTCGGTCTCACTGATGAATCCCCCTGTTTAATTAACACTGTCAGCTATCATAGACGATAACAATCACTAAAGCAAATAAAAAAAGAAGAAAAAAATATATATCTGGGAGCAGTTCAATACCGTATCATGAGGTAGTCGTCTGCCTCTGGGGTTCTGCTTCAGCTTGAAGTAGCTGAAGCTATAACAAGAATACTCATTATCTTTGTCTATAGCGCCTGCATTACTGTCTTCTGTCTGGAACAGGTACTCATTATGGAGGTGGGTGAGATTATAACAATATCAACAACACGAGTTAGCTGAGAGCATTGTTGTGTATAATGAAACTAATGCCTGGAACCCAGAGAAAACTAATGGCTGCTCCAGTGCTGCTGCTTCTGCTGCTACTGCTGCTGTGTCTGGAGAAAATGCTGATGGCGGCTTTTCTTTCAGTGCTAACCCAAGCTGTGCCGAGCCGAGCTAAGCTGTGCAGTGCTGGCCAGCGCCCGCCGGTGAGGGCGTGGACAGAGGGAGGTGCTCTGTGTGTTTTGAGTGTTTTTTTTAAAGCCTTAGTTTCTCTTTGAGGATACCAAGTTTTCTTTTTTTTTGTTGTGTTTTTTTTCCTCTTTTTTTTTCTTTTTTAACATGAGCGCCATTGTAGAAGGGCTTCAGCCACTTGACAACATGTAACTCAATATACACTGAAACGGGAGGGGGGGGGGGAGAGATGCTTTAAATCATTAGAGGAACGAAAAGGAACGGAAAGGAAAAAAAAGCCGTTTCGCTTTCGTTTTCGTCTCGCACACATGTAGAGAAATACACACAACATTCACAATGTGACAAATTTCCTCTCTTCTGAAAAATAAAAACACTTCTGTACACATAGTAGTAATAATATTATTATTAATAATAATAATAGTAATAATGTTTATGACAATAACAACAGCAAGAACAATAATACCGCGTGTGGCTCTGTTGATTTTTTTGTCATCTTTTCCTTTCTCTTTTTTGCTTCATTCTACAAGTCGCATCCCTCTTTTTTTTACTTGTCTATTTTTAATCAGTCCAAAAAGAAGTTCAAAAGGCAGACTCAAGTTAATAGAAAAGTACTAGAGTGGGAGGAGGGCGGGGAGGGGCGGGCTTTTTCACCACCTCCCCTTCGGCCTCGCCCTCAGCCGAACCTCTCCCTCACTAGCATCATTAGTTTCTTTTTGCCCTTGTAGATCTGTTTCAGGTTGTCTATGAATTGGGTGAACTGAATGTGTCCGTCGTGAGCCATCATGAAAGTCTCCCGGGCCTTCCCCAGGAACTCGATGAACTCGCTATAGTGGCGCGGGCTGATGTGCGTGAGCCGTGAGTGCGTGGTGTTGATGTAGGCCCCAATGGTTGCGTCCAGCAGCTGCCTGAGCGGCGCTTTGTCCAGCGACATCAGCTTCCCAGAATTCCTGCGGCTGTGCAGCGCCGACACCATGCCCGGCGTGGTCAGCGTGCACCGCCGCAAAATGTCAGACAGCACGGTGGCGCACTTGACGCTCTTGACCACCAGGGGGATTACGGCCGCTAGCTCGTTCTTCCCCAGCGAGTGGCTGAGCGCGCAGGCCCACAGCACGTCGTTGATGGCCGGGTGCGTGTCCTGGTTGTAACTGAGGTTCAGGTGGGCCATCGCTAACGTCGCCAGCTTGTACGCTCTCATTGGATACCCACGGTGTTCCATGTAGCGCGCAATAGTGAACAGCTGCGTGTAGCTCATTCCTGTCGCCGCCGCGTCCAGTACAATCTGGTAGGCTGTCTCAAAGGCAATGTGGTCCTTTTCGCAGAGCGTGAGAGCGGAGAGGGCGCAGTTCTGGGGGTCCTTCATGGCACACTGTAGGGCGAGGGTGCGAGCAGATGAAGCCAGGTTCTCCTGCTGGTGGCAGTCCAGGTGCAGGCGGACGATAGTGCTGTTGGACATGACAGTGGTGGCCACGATACTGGTGGCTTCCGTGGGGGTGAAGAGGGTGAACCAGCTCTGCATGATGCTATCCAGTGCGTACACACCTGGGGCACACATCGAGGCATGAATAGATGTGAAGAGAGATATAGAGCAGAAGCTAATAATAATCCTTAAAACAGCTGAAAAACACCAATTTAAGCGGAGAGCGTGGCTTACCAACTTCAGTGGCGCATGTGACTAACCAGCGAACCATCTCTCTCCTCCTCCAGTTTAATGTGGACAGAGTTATTCTCATCACCTGAGGAAGGTGAAAAATGATGGAGCAGGAGGGAATGAAAGGTGAGTTACTGATCAGACATGTAAAGCATTAAAATGCACAGGGAAGATGAGCTATATCTACCATTACCGCTGAAGAGTATTATAAATATTCCTGTAACCAGTTCAACTGTAACTTCAACGACGCACTAGAACTGTGGCGGAAAAGACTGTGGTACATTTTGCAACAGCCTTGGGGGGAAAGGCCCACAGGAAAACCATCAAAGTGAATACCTTTACAAATATATAATCCAAGGTAAATCTATAAATAATTTATTAAAGTCTGCAAAGGCGAATAAGGTGAAAAAACATAATGAACAATATTGTGACATTTACCAAGCATCACCTCTCAAAAGCTCATTCTCCTCCCTGAGGTGCACAAAATAAAGGCCCCTTAGAAAATAGCATTGCAGTGCTGTTCCATCTAGAATTAAATATTCAGGAAACCAAAGGATCCACAGATACAGATCTGTTACAATATCTTTTCTGATTCCTCTACACTCGTCATATAATGGAGCTATTTTACAGGATTAAGAGCACCCTATAGTGTAAATGCCGTTTCCAGGTAATCTTCCTGTATTCCAAGACAATAATGTCAAATTCTGTTTCATGAACATCAGGGTAAAATCCTTTTACTGACCCAAGATAACTAAACCCTTGTGATGTACAGGGTTAATGTCATCCTCCAGAGCTACAAGCTTTTCTTGTAAGAAAATGATCCAATATATCTCTACTCAAAGATACAAGTGAACAGCGGCTTGGTATAAGTAGAATATTACCTTCACATACACATGTGGATGTATTATTAGGCTCTTTTTTTTTTTTTAAACAAAGGTGTGCCATGGAAATTTACAACCTGACTTCCACTAAAAGGTGAAAATAAATTCACAGAAGTACACTTAAAAAAAAAAAAGCATACCTGCAGTCCTAACTCCAGAGAGACTTTGAGAAGTGTTATATCAGGCAGGCTGTCCATGAGCGTGGCAATCTTAAACGCGTCCTGCGCCAGTTTGAAGATGTGAGACGAGGAGTGAATGTTTTTCTGGATGGACTCCAGGACCGTCTCCAGCCTGCGACTGTCGCCTGTGGTACAAACACAGAAATAGTTTATAATTGCACAGAAATGACTGCTACCCCTACCTGTATACATGCAAACGCATGTGTTGTGTTACTAATAGTACGTCAACATTAGGAAAGTTAATGGCGGGATCTGTAATTGTGCAAATATCTGTGCACCTTTGGCAGCAGTGAGCATGGTAGAGGCCAGCTCACACTGCTGGGACTCTATGTGGCTCAGGGTGAACCAGCGCGGGTAGCGGTTGGGCACTACGGACACGATGTGGTGAGGTCGCGACAGGTCACCGGATGATGCCGTCGACTCCAACACCGGCAACCTGACGGAGAAACAGACCCACAGCACAATTATTAAAGAGATTCTGTGGAGAATTATGTACTTCAATTAAATACATAAATATTAAGTAGAGTCTTGAGTCTTGAGCCATTATTTCTTTATAGTTTGCTTTCAAGAAGCCAGACTTTTCTAAAGTGGTCTTGAGCAATATTTCTCCAGGTCTCCAAGTTTTTCTTTGGACACTGGCTGCTTTTTCACTCAGATTTAGTCCATCCTTATACCTGAATATATTTAGAGGAAACTAAGCAAAGAGCAGTATTTTTGTAGCAACAAAACAATTTGCAAAAAAAAGTGTCAAAGGAGTACAGTATGCCTTTAAAAATGATGAGGAAACCAGACAAGTGGAGAACAATGGAAGAAGCAGTAGATGAACACTATCATCACTGACACGAGACCCAGAGGTGGGTTTTGGGCAGTCACCCAGTCAAGAAGCAAGTCTTAAGGAAAGGAAACAGGGAGAAGAAGTGGAAGAAGAAGTGGACTGAAAAATCAGTGGCAACAGGTTTTATAGAGCGATGAGTTTCAAATCATTAATGGTATATATGGAGGACAACAGTGTCTACAGCCATCCGTAAAACATGTACGAGGCTCTGTCATGATTTGGGGCTGCATTTCAGCCAGTGGTGCTGTGGATCTTATCAAAAATGGTGAAATTATGAACATAGAAAAGAACCATCAGGTTTTAATCCTCCATGCAATACCATCTGGAAAGCCTGTAACTGACAACAGCTTTACTTTTCAGCATGACGATGATCCCAAACACGCTGCCAATGCAATAACAGCATGCATGGAATGAAAAACAAACAATGGGAAACTATCAGTCATGGACTGACCTCCCCAGAGCCCGGACCTTTACTGAAACAGTGTAGGATCATCTTGACAGAAAACGGACCAAAAGACAGCCAACATCCAAAGAGGAGCTTGGAATGTCCTTCAAGAAGTCTGGAGAACTAAGTGTATTTCAGTTAATTAAGACTATTAAACTCAAAAACACTAAATTAAAGAACTACAAGAGTGAAGAGAAATTAGACAACAAAGGTCCGTGAATCATCATCAATGAAACCCCTTTTTTCCTCCATACTGTAACAAGCAAACAGAATACTGTACTGAGAGAAAAAAAAGGGCTTCATTATGAATGCCTGAAAGTCACTTCAAAATCAAAATGACTTCAGTCGACACAGGGGGATTACAGTTAGCCTCTCCCAGCAATTTACTTTCAACCTAGTATTTAATCACCTAGAAACCATGGTATAATTAGTATTTTCTTCACTCTAATTGGTCATAATGAAGTCAGAGCCGTGCAACACCTGCTAGTGGATGGAGGAGCTTCACTAGTTTCTGTCTCTCATTATAATAATACTGACAGGGCCAAGTCTTCACAAGAGCCACGAGCACAACACAGTTACCACTGTGGCCGGCTCATCTCCTATTCTGCTTCACTTCTCTTCCCTCCCACCTCAGTTTCAAAGGTCTTCTTTCCTTCAGAAGACAGCGCAACCTGGCCTTCTCTCAGCCAATCACAAAGCTAATTGAGTCCATGGGGAAATTAAGGAATTCACCTTCTAGCCCGTAAGGCTGGACACACATCAAACAAATACCAACACACATCAATGAAAAAACCCAGAGCATACACACGCACGCGCGCACACAAGATCAGATACACACACACACACACACACACACACACCTGCCCTTTTGAAAACACATCAAAGCAGCCCAGTAAAAGCAATGTAATGCTAAATGCCAGTTTCAATTTCAGAGCAAGGTGCATGTGATACCGCTGCCACCCGAGTAAAGGCATGTACAAAAACAGCCTCGTCTTCGCTCCGTTTCGCCCAAGAGGGCACCGGCGGAGCTCGTTTCTCGGAGACAGAAGGTGTCAAAAACCCAGTTGAGATGCGCGCAAGTGTGAACGCTGACACTTGGTGCAAAATGGAGATGTTTGGAAGCCCTAGCAACAGCCGGATTCATTCCACACAAAGCTTAAGAGCTGCTAAAAGCTTTTGCCACACTGGGACCTTCTGGAAGATTCCTGGGGTGCAGCAAAGCAAAGCAAAAAAAAAAAAAAATGCCTTGGATAAAGATGGAGGCCTCATCAACATTCCTGCTTTTGTTTGGTGTTCACCAGAGAGCCGAGTACTTGCATCGGATGGGTGCTTAAGGACCTGGATTTGCTGAAGAATACCTCAATGTAGGAGAGGTAAATGAACCCTCATGAACTTCTCCAAAGTATTCAATCCAACCACAAGTACAGTTTAATCCCAGCCAGCTAATATAATTAGTGCAAAATGCTGCACATCTAAATCCAACACCAATTTACTGTGTGCTTACAGTATAATAAAAAACTGTAACAAACGGTTCTTTACAGGTTTGCCATGGTTTGAAGTAATTGCGTATAAATATATTATCTAAAAAGAAACAGAGTGATCGGTAAGAGGCAATCAATTCCTGTGAGGGTCAGTGAGAAGGGTTTGTCGCTCTGGTGTCAAATGTCTCCTGCGGCACTGTAGCACGCTGTCACATCTGAAAGGGGCAGAAATATGCAATACAGTCAACGTGGAGGCAGCTGGCAACAGATTACAGAAGAGGAGCCTGTGACGAGGCAGTGATGGGTAAACCAGCGTTTAGGGTCACACATTCACGTGCCCATGTAAGAAGAATGAAATGCGTAACACTTTGCAGAAAAGCTGCAAGGATACAATGATAAAAAGCAGTGCGTGCAGGTTTTACCTAAATCCTGAGGCCCTTTGGGTTTCTGGTCTGCATCACCATGACTACTGACCTCTTTACCTCTTTCTCTGTTCCCCCTTTGACTGTAAACACCCTTCACTTCCAGAATTTATCAAGCGCACATCTATCAGCTAAGTGACACATCCGGTGGAAGACCATACACAAACTCCTGTGGGATAAAACCTGCAGAACACCTGGCAGCAGGGATGAAGTCATACATGAACGAGATGAGCAGATATTTTAGCCGTCAGGAGCCTAGGATGCTAAAAATGACATTTGCTTTGAGTGATGCTTTTTGAGGAACATGTTCTACATTAAAGCCATCACTGTCGCAGTCACATGAAAATCTGTGTTTAAAATATCATTTTCGAGAGGTTTGTTTATTTCCGTGCACTTGGATTTTCTGCAACTCACAGATGAGCATGTTTCTTTATATTGTTCAATAAATTTCATACAATACAATAAACACATGTGCATGAGCAAAGTGATTGCAAATACACTGCCTGTACGTGTGTGAGAGTTTGTGTAGTGGTGATTCTTTATAGCTTTGTGTGGACAGACAGTAAAATATTATATGCAGAGGTAGAAGGCAACAAGGGACAGACTTAAAGATTTCACTGACTGATAGTAAAATTGTATTGTATAAAACATTATATTTCAAAGGGAAATCAACCCATTACATTACTAGTATTTCTTTTGGCAGTGTGGTTTACATCTATTTCTTTCACTGGGACCAGCACGATAGTATTGCGCTGTTTACATGTCCCACATCAATGATTCCCAGCATCTTAATCTGAAAGTCATGTAAAAAAATAAAATAAAATAAAAAAATGAGAGACTAGATAAGGGTTTTACTATGCAGACTAAAGAAAAAAGCCACCAAAGCATTGGGTAAGGCACATTAGCTGTTAACAGTAGATCTCAATGTCACACGACATCAGCTGATACGCTTCTGTGTGTCCTACTGAAACATCTAGAGGTAGGCGGATCTAACCAAATATCCATAGGCACATTTACATTCCAGGTCACAGTCATGATCAGTGCTTTATAGGTTTAAAGTATCGGTAATAGTATCGGTAATACTGGCCATGTATTCACTTGTTATCAGCTCTATACCAAAATTTGCATTATCACACAGCGCTAACAGAATCTCATATAGGGTATACAATTTAAACTGCTCTAACGTTCTGTCAACTGTTGCTCATGCAAGCCGCTTTGCAGCCCGCCTTGATCCCAGCTCGTCCTTATCATGCCACGTCTGACGATGTCATATCACCAATGCCTGCCGTGTTGTGCACCACAGGTCTTTCTCCTTCCCCCCGTCTGGAAATAATAATCGTCTTTGGAATAAAGTGGTCCCGACTGAAATAATGGCTGATACCTGTGTGCACTGGTGATGTATCAGTCTCATCTTATCCTCAGACGGCAATCGTGATATAGAGTACTTTATATTCAAAGATTATGGATTATGCAGAGGATCAAAGGTTGTGGATTACAGCGAAGATCCAGAGTCATTAGCATTGGAAGGCTCATATCTCATATGGAAATCACATATGATAACAGGCGACTGGGATTTGTTTCTTTGGCTTCCAAAAGAGTTGAGATAAGCACCGTCTCTGGAGAGGCAGTGAGCTTCTTCTTCTCTTTCTTCTTCCTCTTCTTCCTCTGGCTGCAGTCAAATTCTGGGCAGCCCCTGAACTAGTAGGCAGCTTCTCTGTTTTTGTGTTGGCCGCTAACGTCGAGCCATTGCACGGCATATGCTGCTCTTACACACTTTAATTAACCTCATCCAAGACACATAAACTCCCAGGCACTTTAAAATACTCTCATGGATATGCATGCACACATGGAGGCAGTCTGACTTCCTCTCATTTGCAAAAAAGCCGTTTTAAGAGCAACTGTGACAGAGGAGAAAAATCGAGAATGCAAGTAGAAAGAAAAAAGTGTGTGAGAGAGAGTGTGTGTGTACAAGAGAGCGAGAGAGAGCTAGACTTTCTTTCTCTCTCCTTGTATCAATGATAGTGTTATAATAGGTCCATTAAAATAGCCCTGGTTACTTTACCTCCTCCTCTATATTTAACTGTCCACCGTCCCGTGGGAGCGGGAAGGTATATGCTATCACATTACACTACGCTACATTACACACATTCATTATGTGCTGAGTAGACACCCCTGGCTCCCAGGAGCACCCATAAGTGGCCGTATTATTCTAAATCGACGCATTCACGCCAAAGGAGTGAGGATGGAGGAGCGGAGGAGAAGGAAACAAAAAAAAAAAAAAAAAAAGGTGACGGGAAGTAGCAAGGGAGGGAAGGGAGTGGCTGACTCAGGGAAAACAGGCTTGGGACTTGGGTTTTGAGGGAATGGAAGGGACACACCAGCTGGATTTGCAACCTTGAAACCACACTGAGAAATCCAAACCATCTCGTTTTGGTTTTGTAAGTGTGTTATTTACATCCTGACGCCTCTAAATGGTTAACTGTAGGAAGGTGCAAGGGATGCGCTTCTTGTCTTTTAGTTCTCCATTCGGCCAACTGTGACACATTACGAGAACCCGAAAAAGTTAAAAAGAAGAACAAGAATCGCTTCATTTTTAGTTGTTCACAAATCATTTGCTAGTTTTACAGTGATGGACTTCGCAAACCTTAGCTTTGTAGAAACATAACAAACATCTTCCTCCTCTGTGTCCTCTCCCCGTTGGCTCGGCATATGCATGTGTTTGTGTGTGCATAAGTGTGTGCGTGTGTGAATCCTCCTCATTACAGCCACACTAATTATACTCTCATTAATGTAATTAATATTCACTGATCCAGCTCCCACTAGTCACAACATCAAAACACAGCAGCGCAGACTGATTAACGTACATACACATGTCCACATTGTCCACAGATGAATACACACAGGAGCTTAATATAGAGAGATCACACGGACAACGCACAGGCCAGCAAACAGCGTGGAATTCCCTTCAAAACACAGACGCACACTGAGCTGCAGACATTAAAGCTTGAAGACAAGCTTGCACAAATAGGAGGGATCTTAAACTTGAGGAGAATTTTTTTTCTCAAATCGCTTAAATCCTCACTCAGATTTTAAGCGAGGGTGACTAGGTCGTCTATGAATCAGAAGGTTGGTGAATCGCTGGCTCATGCAGTTTGCATCGTCATATCCTCGGGGAGGTTAGTGAACACCAAATCGCACGTTACAGCTTCAGACTGACGGACCAACAACAGCACAAATAAGAGTATCCCACAGAGCAGTTACGCCACATATTTTTGACACTGCCCCCATCTGACAACAGATGCTCTCTGCAGGTAGACGGGCAGCCAACGCCAATGCACTACCACAGCTGAACCGTAATTTCCCCACCAGTGTGTGTGATCGTCAGACAGTGCTTAGAATAGAGCGCTGTATGGGTGTGTGTGTGAATGGATAAGAGTGGCTTGTAGTAAAAAGTGCTTTGAGTCCGCAGAGTAGAAAAGTGTTACATGAGCATCAGTCCATTTTACCATTTATAAGCCGCACGTAAATATTTTATGGTTATACAGGATGCGAGGATACATCATATAGTGGGTTGGGGCGTGCATACCAATATTCAGCTGTTCACATATTAGTGTGCTGCACAGGTAAGCTCATTTGTTTTTCAGAAATCTGTAAAACACACTCAGGATCATCACTGAGTGGTAACTTAAAACTTTGTGGCCATGGATGCTAACATGGATGCTAACATGGATGCTACTGCTTCACGATCACCAGTTTTTCTCTCCCACAACAGCTCCTATTAGAGCGTGGGGCACTGCTCCATCTCTGATTGTTTTACTCATTACTTCATAGGAAATCTCCAAAGCTCAAAAAAGTTTTATTTGAGAGTCCAAACATGGCCTCTCTACATCTAGAGCCTTCTCCTCAATAGTCACCTTAACTACACCTGTAAAGTTTCATAGCTGTCCCTTGCATGTTTATGACACCATCATGTTGACAAAACCCATCCACAGACAGACATATAAACACCTGCCAAGCTTTGGTAATAGTTAAAGAAGGTGCCCAGGATCACATTCTGCCATGATGACATGGCACAGACGGAGACACACACACACACACACACACACACACGCACGCACACACGCAGACGCACAAAGTGAAAACAAAGCGAGACCTGCTGTCACAGCTGGTAAAAATCTGATTTACAAGGTTTTGACATGATTACGGAAACAAGCCCACACAAACACAGGAGACCTACCGCATGGCTCTCAGTGCAATTTTGTACGCCAGTTCAGCGTCGTGAGGTAGGAGAGAGGTGAAGAGATAGCGGGCGAAGGTGTGCATGGGGACACTTTCTCTGTGGACGATCTCTCCGAGGCCAGAGTACGGACCAGCTGTGACAAAAAGCACAAGAAAACAATATAAACACACCGAGAAAAGTGGGTCCTTTTTAGCTATGGAACACACAGGAGGAAGAAGTGTGTCCTCAAGTTAGTATATTTTATAATATATACCATACAATTAACACATTCTGGTATTGCTGCACATTAAGTCATTATTTTCCTGTTGCACACTGACGAGTGATTTATCTGGTCTGTCCCTCGTAGCCAGGAAGCAGTGAAGCCACGCGGCATTAAAACAAACTTTGACGTCAAAAACCATATGGCCGTGTGTGCAGCCTTGGCCTCACACTTTTCCTTCCCTCCCCCACTTCCTGTGCTTCCCCCCTCATCTCTGGTGGGTTATTTTAAACCCCAACAGGCTTCTAAGCCACAGACCACATCACACAGTGGCGCAGCTGCAGTCTCCAGGGACCCACAGAGGCCTCGGAGCCCGGTGCTCTATTAGTAACGGAGCCAGAGGTGGGTGGTCGCGCCAGGGATGAGGCAGGGTTGGGGTTTGGGTGGGGATTGGAGTAGAGTTTGACTGGGCTGGGCCCTCAGGGATGAGCCACCACCGCACCCCTCCTCCTCCTCTTCCTCCTTCTCGTTTTCCCATAACCAAACCCCATTCTGCTCTAGCTCCACTCCTGTGAATGTACACACTGGTGTGCGTGCACGCATATATGTGTGCTGACACAATACCCCTGGTGTTACTGTGTAAAGAGCTCATTTTGGTCTGGCCCAGGGCAGCTCAGCCTCTATTTGCACCACAAAATGAAAGGATAATAAATAGCGAGACAGAGTCAAAAGTGTTTTTCCTGTTTTAGCAGGAATGTGTAGGCTCATGGTGTGTGGGAGGTAGAGGAAGAACAGGGAGGAGGTGTGCCTATATATAGATAGATTTAAATATATAGATATTATATATAGAGAGAAAGAGAGCTATAGGGAAATATGGTGAAAAAAAAGTAAATTGTAAACAGGTTACACTTATGAAAAGAGCTTTAGACTTTATCTCTCATTCACCCATACAGCATGCTGGAGTTCAGTGCTGCCCCAGCACACTTTATCATGTGGACAGGAGGAGCACACACCCACTTGACCACGTTGGGAGCAACCATTTAAATGTAAATTTAAAAAAAACCAAACCAAAACAAAAGTATAGTTGGAATATATTCTGTTATCTCTCTTACCCTCCAGCAAGAAGACGGCCTGTTTACGGAAGATTTTGACCAGGGAGTCGTCCAGTTCCACTTCCTGCAGCTTGGCCAAGAGCTGCTCTTCATTGCGACACACCTTTTCTTGAGCATACAGCCCATCGGGCATCACCCGCTGCTGGCCTAGGCCGATCAGAGCGGTCTCCACGGCCAGCGCCACGTACGATTCGCCGTCCCCCAGCAATCGTTGCACGGGCATCCGCTGGAGGTCCGCTCGGCTTACGACGCTGGAGCAATCTATGAAGAGGGAAAAGGAGAAGACAAAGAGGCAGATGAGAAGAAATGAGTCAGCATAAACTGGCTGGGAACGTTTGTGTAATTCTCTGAGGCGCTGAACAATAGAGGAGTCCGTCTCCTGTGAAAAACACACTGTGTTCGTCACACAGTGCAGGTCTTAATCCAGTGACCACCCAAAATAAAGATCGACCCCTTAGGAGCATTCCTCTGTTCGCTGCTCTTCCTCAGAGGAGTGGGCTATTTCTGTAAGCAGGAGACGCACCGAGGGACGGAGCAATCGCAGAGAGTAGGCGAGGAGAATTTGAAAAACATGGTGAAGAATAAGACAAAGAGAGTGAAGGTGAAGCTACACTTAAACTATGCTTTGTATAGACTAAAAATTACTCCACTATAATCGATGAGATAGGAAATTTATACTCTCCATGTATATTTCTATCTCATGTTAAAAATCAGTCCTATAGAATTAGAACAAACATCTGTGCTAAATTACACAAAAACATCTGTATTTTCATGACTTGTTTGTGTGTAGTAGCTGATTTTTCCATGTAGATACATAAAGACAGACACATGAATCACTTTGTAAAAGGGTGTGGGATGAATAAAGAATACGATAAAGTCACATTTTGATGTGTGTGTGGGGTTTTTTTGTAGCTATTTAAGAGGCCAGTTTCCATAAACCAGCAGTACCTGAGAGGTCTAAGCAGGTGTTAGAGCCCTCCTCGCCCACTCGTCCTGACTCTGTTAGGGTGCTGAACAGGGTGCCAATGGGATCCAGGGGATGCCCCACCCAGCCCTCCATGTTGGTTATGGAAGTGTGGCCTTTATGGAGCAACTCTAGAAAAGGACAAAGCAAACGGGGACACGTCTCAGTGCAAAAACTGACAACATCTTAAAGTAATAATGCACATCATTAGCCTCTGCAAGCTGAACAGCATATTAACACATATACACACAAATAACCACTGTCTGTCCCAGCAAGACCTCATCTTAATTCTTCCACCCCTTAAAGTGAAATGCGCAAGGGTATGAAAACTAATATGCACAGAGCTGTCATCCATACCTGATTAAGAAACAGCAGCGATAGGCCCCATCAACTACCAAAAATCAATACAGACCATATCTCAGCAATGGCATGAGTATTTGTTATTTTTCAATACCTTGCATGAAGAGCTCATCTACTCTGAAGTTTGGCAAGAGTAATTAGATGTTTAGAAGTTACACTTTACGGAGGCAAAAGGATTCACAGGAACTGAAAGCATTTCTGGCTTGTTCCTTTTTAAATTTTCCTTTGAGATTATTAGGCATTATATATGATATCACAGTGAGCTGGTGTTGTTTGTAGGTAATTAGTGAGTTTCCAAGAATGGTTTGCTGCCAAATTGGATTCTGAGAATAAAAAACAAATAAGGCTTGAATACCGCAATTTAGTTTCACCTTTCTTGTGCCTACGAAAGTGCTCCAGTTGCCTCTGCTGTTGCCTTCGTAACGTATTGACCACGGCGATGGCCAGACGGAGGGCTTCTCTCGGGTAACCGTGGGAACGCAGGGCGTCCACCCTGGCGCAGGCTGTTGGGACATGCTCTGAGGGAAAGACAGAAGTTTTAAAACCAGCGTTTTTCTCTCACCTCCTGGACAATCTCAGTTCGGCTCACTCTGTATAAATAACTTTTCTGGCACGTGCTCACTCACACCTCCACACACACACACACACACACACACACACACACGCACACACACACAGACTCACCGTGCCATAAGGGCCAACCACGTGAGTCGAAGAGAGAACCCTCCTGGTTGTCATGGTAACAGTAGTTGGCGTAGAGGTCACTGGCAATGATGTGCTGGAGGTGTCGGTCCTGCCAGTGCAGGTCGCAGGCCTCGATGGCCCGTGTGAACACAGTCCTGTGGGGGCGCATCTCTGAAGGAGAAGGAAAGGTGAGGTGAGAAAAAGATGGATAACAGCCAAACGCTCGATAATTTGTGGACTTCTTTTTGTCTTAAAAGACAGCCCTTGCATTTCAATAGCTTAATTTTTTGACATAAGCATAATTGCTCCGCCCCAAAAAAAACAAAAAACCATCACTCGGAAGATTGGCAGCTTGATCTGGCTTGTGTACCACAGAAAATCTGCTGTGGTGTTTTAAAGCCGGAAAGCAAACAGCAATCTAAGCGGCCTCCTCTCGACTCCAGCAGACCGGATTCACACAGCAATTATGTGGGGCAGGAAAATTATTGTGTTTTTGCAGTTGTTGGGTTAATGTATGGAATTGTACTTCTCGTTGTTGTGTTGAGATTTATCGTCAACGTGGTTTTTCTCTGTTTCTTTTGTTTTGTCCATCTTGTAAGAAAATAAAATGTGTATGAAAACAAACAGGAAAAGAAAAAAAAAATGGAAATCTGTTGTTTCATCTCCAGCACATGCGTGGCTCTTTTAGCTTGGAATTGCTGCCTGTGTAAAATTATCTTTTAGGACAAATACTGGATAGAGACAGACTGATAAGCGAACACACACATACGCCCACCCTGTAGCCAAAGCTCCTGAGCCCTTTCACAGTGAGGCAACAATTCTTTGATTTACAATTTTTAATTCATTTTAAATAAACCGAATATGAGTCACACCAATATGAAATTGAACTTCTCTGCTGACATCATGATTTAAAAAAAAAGAAAAAAAAAAAATCTTTTTTCTTGTTCATTTTTGAATCGATCGTTAAAAGAAAGCATCTTCTTCTCCTTGTCCGAATCAGGGTCACGGAGGGGCGAGAGGTAAGGCCGTGTTCATTTTGACAGCAAACTTGAGATGATTCAGTAAAAAAAATAAAGTGTAGACTTTTGTCGTGGTTTTACCAGTGAGAGTTGCTCCACACGATTTAACAAAGCGTCTTATTTGCCTTAACATCTAATGTGGAATGTGTTCATATGCCTACTTTTCTCTTCCTTCCAAGTTTTGACATTTTGTCTTTTCATGAAAAACAGAGAACCGTTTCTCATGGACAGATCAATTGTGTGCACCTAACCTCACTGCACCACAGATCACATTCCTGCCTTTCTGAACAAATTAATTAGTTCTTATTGGATCTCGTCAATGCGTTTCAGCATATCTTCTGTCCTTGTGCTTTGATTTCTATGTAATTATTGTCTGAATTACACAAAAAATGAAGGTAATTATTGGTCAACAAAATTCATTAGCCGGCCGCCGGGCAAACATACAGAGGTAGACATCCAGTCGCACTCATATTCACACCTATGGCCAATCAGCAATCAGCAACCTAGCCCCATCCCCATGTTTCTGAACTATGGGAACAGAGAGAGGCCACATAGACACGGAGAGAACACACAAAGGTTGGACTCAAACCTTGGACCAGGTGATGTTGCTAACAGCACCACCGTGAATGGACTAAATTTATGGGAAAGAAATTTGCCAAAACAGTTCTTTGGTTGCTCGCTATTCATTCCTGCACAACAGATCTTGGAGGTGCCATAGCTGTGACGAGACTCACCTCTCACCTGCTACAACTGCCAGACACGTGTCACGACCAATAAATACGTTACTGACAGACATACAAAACCTGTCGATGTCTTACCTTGGTTGCCATGGGCGCCCTGAGGCAGTGAGTGGGTGAGGTTGGGCAGCTCGTTGCCGTGGTTACCGTCCTCCCAGGGGCAAACGTCCACACTGTTCCATCTGCGCAGCTGGCGCAGCCATGATGACTTCTGCTCCGGTTTACAGTGGGGGTTCAGTACGATGCACATCCACAGGGCACCTGGACACACACACAAACACACACTTCAGTTACCTGCCCTACTTCTCAGTTTGTAACAGTGATGTAAGCAATGAGTCATACAAAAGACATAAAGTGTGTCTTTTGAGATTTAAAATACCTTTAATACAGATATCATGTGAGATTGAAAGCTCGGGGCTGTTTTTACACCCTAACACTGTTTCTTGTTCTTTTAGGAGCACATTTTACGTGCTGCCGCCATCTTGCACTGGAATACAAAACTCTGTGAAAACAGAGAACTTGACTAGTCCCGAGGCAACGCTGACTGCACACACATCATTTTAGAGTAAATTGGAACAAACAGAATATGAAAAGTGGCTATGTCTCTGGGGATACAAGCACAATCGGGGATTTTACTCTCCAGACTCCAAGAGATATGTATACACTCACATTGTGTGTGTGTGTGTGTGTGTGAGAGAGAGAGAGAGACTGTGTGTGACTGTATTCTACAGATGCATATGTGTGCAGACAGAGTTTGGGAGGAAGGACGAAGGCAAGGACATAGACAGAATAAGAAGGGAGAAGAAAACACGGCGGAGAACAGAGAGAAAGTGTAAAAAGGAGGGGGTGAGGGGAGAAAATGAAATGGGGGCGCGGATGATGTGGACGAGAAGACACGGGTGAGGACAAGTGAATGAGGCAAGGCTTTGTGTCTGGAGGAGAGGAGTAGCTGCAACTCAAAGAGGAGCAAGACAAAAGAGGGAGCAAGGGGGAGAGAGAGCGAGAGAGAGAGAGGGAAAAAGAGAGCGGCGCCAAGAGGCAGCATTTACCACACATCAGGGGGAGTGATAAGGACTTGGGAAGAAGGTTTTGAAGTGTGGACTTCAAAGAGACCGTGCACACACACACACTTCCAAAAATACGTGGGATTGAAACAGATGAGATCACTGCGCTGTCCTCGCAAGGTGCAGAACAAGACCAAAGGGAGAAAACGAACATCATCATCAACAACAAAAACAACAACAACAGCAGCAACCAAGGCATTAGAGAAAGAACAACAAAGACGCGGAGACAACACGGCTGCTGTCCTGGTGATGAGCCCGCTGGTTTTGCGGCTTGTGAGGATGTGCTTTGCTGTAGGTACAGCACGTCTGTCAGGAGAACTACAGGATGTATCAAGCCGAGCGAGAGCACGGCGAGCGGCACTCTGTCACATCAGCTTAATATGTAATGAGATGAGTCTGAAAACACTGCAGAGGTTATAACATTTAGGGTTTCAGCACGATGCATTAAATAGCTTGTAATTCACAAAGACACTTTTATACACCACCAGTCACAGTGAGAAAGTGACTGGGCTGTCAGTGACAAGTGTGTGCGGGACAAAAACAAAAAAAAAAAAAACACAACACCTTTGTGTCGATTTTTGCTAAATCCGTCTAGGCAAAGAGGTGTGTGCACATTTATAGGACAGTATGTGCGTGTGCAGTGTGTTTCTCGCTCTCACCCAGCTCATCCCAGAGCTGTCTGTACTTGTCGGTCATGGTGGTGCCCTGCTGTCTCCACAGCGCCAGCCGAGGGTCTGCCATGAACTGTTCTGTGATCAGTGTTAACATCCTCGCTCCGTTGGAGTCACGCATCTTCAGCATCTCCCTCACCTAGAGGAGGACACAAGAGGGACAGGCCCGCGCACACATGTAGTTTACAGCAGCTGAGGAACAAAGAGCAGCGATAACACGAGCGGCACGTTGTTCTAACATCGTGTGCGCGCTGAAATATTCATGGCACGTACGCAGGCTTAAATCAATGAAGAACACAACTTTTATGCCTCGGGATGGCGCAAAACCCGGGCATGTTTTCATATCTACTGTGTGTAATCTGTTGATCTTGGTGATAGAGGTAAATACAGTGGCAGCAAACATTTATATTTTAATCTTGCAGCTACTGCACTTGTCAACGGTCAAATCAGGTTTAATGGTCGCATGACAAAATTCCTCTCATTCTCGTCATGTTTTGTTTCCTTAAAACACTGTTTTAAATACTTACTGTGCTTTTTAAATCCAGTTCTTGACACAGAAACGGAATAATCATTTATGTTTTCTAAATAGTTCACTGATTTCACTTAGGGGTTTTAATATTCTGCAAAACTAGATGTCACAAAGAAAATCCATTCATTACATTACATACAATATGGCATCATTAAAAAAATTAAAAAGAATGAGAATCCAACTTCAATAAAATCAGTTACTAGAAGAAAAAAGTAAACAGGTTTCTTTGTGCATAAACAGCAGCGATAGTTTTCTCTTCTCTACTTCACTTTTTGTGAGAAGCGCTAATCACAAGAGGGACTAGTTTATTGTAAACTATGGTGGTCAGCAACTTCTTCTAGGAGGCATTAACACTCTTGGGTGTGCAGGAATATCAAATATTAATCTGATTTGCTACTTCTTTAAAGACAGGGGAGGGGATTTTTCAGTGAAACACCAGAAAAACAAAAAACAGTCAATTTCAACTTTGCAACATGTGCGGAGACAACACTCACGCACACACACACGCATGGACACTTGCAGTAGATTCAAAAGTTCAAATGCAGTGGATGTGTGTTTTAGATTTAAGGGGAGCTCTGCGTAAGCGCAAGTGCGTACATGACTCTCGATGTGGGCGTGCACGTCTGTGTAAGCATATACGCGGCTGTTAGTGGGCGTGCGCGCGCACTGAAATGAATATAACAGGCAACAAAGAGCATGAAGCCGAGAGATATTCTAAAAGCCAGGCGGACTGGATGATAATGGCCTTGGCTTGCAGTCTTTACATAGCACACAGCGCATTAATGCTGGTCTAGCTCTGCCACTGTAATACCAGGTAACGGAGCGAACGGCACGTCTCTCATGTAATCATTTAATCACGGGTACAAAGGAGCATACACCGCAAGCTTTCGCCTTCCGATACCTCTCTCTTTCTTCATCTCACAGTGTCCGTCCCTCCTGCAATTAGCTCCAGCATGGCGTTCAGTGTATGTGCTCTCTGTATTATGTTGTTTTTACTCCTGCTTCTTATAAAAGTGCGCTAACATTATGGAGAAAATATTTATTCAAAGTAGCTGTTTGTTCTTGTGAGAAAGACAAAAGAGCAACGTGAACGTGTCCGTGACTGGCAGGGCTGGTATGTACTGTATGAGAGCTGGTGTGTTTTGTACGTGTATGTGGGAGTGTTCCTGGGTCTTGACCTTGCTGAAGAGCAGGTTGAGCTGCTTGCCCGAGCCGTGGTATCCTCCCTGGGACAGGAAGAGCTTGACCTGCTCCTGAACCTGCTCCTCATCCAGGTGCCAGCAGTTCTCATCATCCACACTAGCTCCCGCTGTGGGGTCCGGGGCCCCTACACACACACACACACTTCAAATCTTAAATGTGCATAAGGCCATAACATTTTTTCCCCTCATTATCTCTTATCCTAATTAATACTATGGCATTTTTGGTATAGGACATTTGTGAATATATATTTGTCAAATAAAACCCCGTGCAGATTTTATATTCCAGGGAATGAGATGAAAGTCAGTTTAATTTTGTTCATGAAAAGCACAAAAACAGTGCACTTTGATCTTAGCAAACACAGTTAAAAGCTAAGTCTACAAAAAAAAACAAAAAAACCATCTCTTTCCAAGTTCATTTGCCCTTCCTTTTAAGAAAGAGATCAAAAATGTCTCCATAAATAGCCAGGAAATTTAAAAAAAAAAAGACTGACAATGTGACTCATCTTTCTACACCTTTATATCCTATGACTACAGCAACCTGCAAGTGCACTACTCGTACTGCAGGCAGCAATGTGGTGTTTTGTTTCTATAACATTACCAAGCACACATCAGCAAAGCCATTTAGCTATTTGATCTTAACAATAGACAAACTTGCCACCATTGCATTTTAATAAAACTAATTTTAATATAACATAACGTCATTATTTCAGTGCCGCCATCAATAATTAAACTGCATTACCGATTAAGCAAATTAACTGGTTTCACTGAGATAGATTTTTGTTAAAAGCATGCAATAACAAATTGAGTTTTAAAGATGTCTTTCCGAAGACTCGCTGAGGAGACGCTCAAACTGAGAACCTGAACAGGAGTAACTCTGCTAGCAAGAGTTAGTTTACATTTCTAGAGCTATCGATGGCTCATCGACAGGTCTCTTCATTCTCAAAAGACTCTGTCTCTTCTGTTCTCCGTCTTCTTTTTTTGGCCCTCCTTCTCAGTTTCCTTTGCTCAAGTCTGTTTCCTGTGTCCCGTTATTTTTGGACACCTCCCCATAACTTCTTTTTTGCTTCCTTCATCACTTCTCCAGTTACAAAGCAGCAACACACACAGACCAAAAAAAAAGAAAAAAAAAAAACGCATCCAGACTCTTTTATGCCTTTTTGTGCTTCTTGGTTTCCTTGGTTTCTCTTCCCGAGTTGTTTGCCCTTCTATTTGTACTTGCTGCTTACCTCTTCTGGGTAAGCAGTAAGTACAGCATTGATAACAAATCTGTCTAGTAACCTCTTGATCTGTATCTCTGCATTGTTATATCTCTCTCTCTCTCTCAGAGGTAAAGAAGAGCTCTATAGTGTTGATTGCAGCCACAGAATCTCTGCTTGCCGTCTGGCTCTTATTAATGAGTAACATTGATCTCGCCACACTTCACCTTCCCCTCGCAGTCAATACGTGCGCACGTAGAGGCTGTTAAAACCCACATGCGATCTTAAACATGCCCATTACCTCACAAAGACACTAACACACAGGTTTCCTCACCGTGGACCTGATTGATCTCAGAGTTCTGTGACAGAATCTCGTCTGCCAGTTTCTGCGCAGTAGGCAGAACCTCAGTGTGGTGGACTGATATCAGATACTGGACGAACTTCTGCAGCTGGTCTCTGCTCATCTGGAAGAGGGTTTCCGAGATGGGCAGGTGCAGCTTGACCTGTTCCGGTTTCCGTACTCTGTAAAGCGACAGCGCCACTACATGGGCGCAATAGAAGATGTCCTTGTTTCCACAAGTGCACGTTACCGCCGTGATCTTGCAACGATCAAAGCTCACGCTGACGCTGCAAACGAGCTCCGGTGACGAGGGGGTGGCGGGGTCCGTCACTGTGCCGCTCAGGTGGAAGCCTGAAAATGTTAGAAACAAAAGAGAACGTGCTTTGTTTTAGGAACGTTTTTGTTAAATGCTTCATTGTTTTCCATTTGTCTTTGCAACTAAAACAACAAGCCAAGCTACAGAAACAGCAGACAACTAAGCAACGTCTTATATAATACAGGGACATAACCACCATCAGCCACTAGTTAACGGTGCTTACACTCTTCTTTGTAGAATTGGTTTACTTTGGAGGGTTTTTGAGCATGAAAGGTCTGTTTAGGGTGATGCTAATAGATCTCAGCTGGAGATGGTCCAGGTCCTGTAGTCCCAGACTATGACACTACCACCACCATGTTTGACTGTTGGTATGTTGTTCTTTTTATGAAATACTGTGTTACTTTTGAGCCAGATTTAAGAATATACAAATGACCACAACTGTTAGTATTGCTGAATCATGAAAGCTGACCTTAACTGAGACAAGGCCTGCAGTTCTTTAGATCATACGCTGGGTTCTTTTGTGACCTCCTCGATGAATCATCGATGCACTCTTAGAGCTCATTATGGCCATTCTTGGATAGGTTCACCACTATTCCAAGTTTTCTCTATTTGTGGATAATGCTTCTCACTGTGGTTTGCTTGAGTAAAAGGGGCTAGTCTAAGGTAGCCACATGAGGTAGTACAGCGTTTGAAGCTTCTGCATTGGATTGAGTTTTTAGTCAAGAAGGTTGCTGCTTGGTTTACAGATCTACAGACACACAGAGGCAACAAGACGTTTTGTACTACAGCAGCTAGTTCACCAAGTGTGCTCTTTATTAAATGACACTACTGTGCACATTGTCTACAAGAATGAATAAACTTAGGATGGAGTTATGTTAAACAGACTCACTCGGCCGCAGTCACCTGCCAAAGGCCCCATGTTCTCTTATCAGTATGATCAGGACCAGCTGCAGTCTACTACCATTACTGTGAGTGAGAGTAGAAGGGCCTGACAGAAATCTAGATGCAGGAAACTGCTGATCCACGGCAAAAGGAATTGAGAAAGAGATAAGGAAGTGAGCAGCGTGCTTGACTTTTCCAGTATGAATTATACAGGCTCTCATTTGAATATAATGTTTGATCTTGTCCTGACTGCACCATCCAGAGGCGTGGCTAGTCATTATTCGAGAATACATATGAATGAACCAGGTGGGGGTTCCCAGCAGTGGCCTAAAACACACACTTATGAGCATATGAAAGAGACACACATATGGGCACACACACACACATATTGAGGCACAGCGTGCGATCATGCATTTATTAATAATGGGAGTGGTTAGCAGAGGCCAGGAGTAGCTTATGAATGCATTTATGCGCTCAAGACAGAACTCTGAAATTCATGTGGACCATGCAAAGACATACATATGTTTAATATGTTTATCAAAGGACCGAGCGCATACATAGATGTGATATCAAGCATGTATTAACGCATATATCAAAGTGTTTTCTGGGGCTCTATATTTGGTATGAAGGGAGGGGCAGGAGTTGAATATTTTATAGGATATAGATGGAAATGAGTGGAGGATTATTCAGGAAAGCTAAACAGAGGTCAAAATAGACACCCTTCTTTCTTTGTCCTCAATGAGTGGAATAAGAAAGCGGGTGACTAAAATAGTGATAATGTGAAATATCAGCATTGTCCCTAAAGCAGCTTCTAGAAAAGCATAGTTGGAAACTTCATTTAAATATCTTGCATATCACAAGGCTGTCAATAGCTGTTGTCTTACAGTTTTTGCCAACAAGTTTTAGTTAGTCCTGCATCTAATAGCATTTCATACTTGGCGACCACTTTCATTGGTTTATTCCTTCTTTTTAGCCAACAATTTCAAGCATTTATTTATACATTTATATCCTTTCAATAGTTACTATTTTAATGACATGGTATGCTTTCAGCTAGTCATTTAAAACTCTTAATTCATTTTATCCAGACATTTTAGTTTGTTTATTTCACTTTTATCTCACCATTTCAACTGTTAATCAATACATCTGGCTAAATATTTCAGTAGCAAGCCATACCATTAGCTTCTCATTTCAGAGTCTTCATTTAAAATTTTACTGAGCTAATTTAAATGTTTATACATTATTTTTAGTTAACAATTAGCTAACAAACTGTGGATACTTTTCTCAATATTTAAGCTGTTAATACATTAAGGAAACAATTTCAATTTCAACCAATTTTTTAAACTATTAATTTCAAACTTTTTATTAATTTAGCATTCAATAGCATACTTAGCATAGCATACTTTGACTTTTATTTGTTTTAACAGTTAGCTAACAATTTCACTTACAAGGCATGCATTTGGGTAATCATTTTAAACCACTTTAAACGGTTTAGTTATAGTTTAACAGTTGAAATAGTGAAAATAATCATTTTAACAGTTGGCTAACAATTTAAATTACAAGCCAATTTAAATTATTGTTGCTTAACTAACAATTTTATTTCTTTATCTATATTTTTAGTTAACAAACTTAACTTCTAGCTTTACTTTGAGTAAACTTTAGATAACCACTTCACGTGTTTATCTAAACTGTGAATAAACTATGTGTTCCTATTTATTTTGACTGTCTGTTTTCTGCTTCACATCCATTAACTTCAGTTAGCAGTTAACTTTTCTTCTCAAGCCTCTTCAGGCCCCTCCATTCTTAAATTGCTTTGAATTCCCCCCCCCCCCTTTTTGGATTAGTTGAGCATTTGTGTCCATTTAATGCTTGTTCCCTTGGATGAGAATAGTTGCTATCGGTTTTATGAGACGGATGCCTAATATAAATCTATCAATACAACATTCAAAAAGCTCTATCAGCATGAATGTAATTGGAGTTTGTAAAACAGAAAGAGCAATGAATTATGATATTTACCCTTTCGCTTAGCATTATCTGCAAACTAAGAAATGCTGGCTGCAAAAACCTAACACTGCACAACACTGCCATGGAGATATGCGTTTCCATTCTGAAAGCCAGCTGGCAGAGGAAACACATGTTTGTTAACAATATCCACAGTAGATTGAGTGTGGATCAAATATGGCAGCCACTCGCATCTGCAGTGATCAAAGCCTATATGTCTCCAGCTGTGGGAGACTCCAGCACTGAGACAATCTTAAACTAGACAAAAACGCTGACATGGTGCACCTGGTTGTAGAGCAGAAAGCTAGCTTATTAAGCTGTAAAAAAAAAACAAAAAAAACATACAAATGAGGATTTTGTTTGTAACTCTTGCTGCTACATTTAGTCTGTCGGTACGTGCGTGTGTGTGCGTGCGCGCGGATGTCAAGCTTGTGCTTCGAGAGTGGCCCCTGGTCCACAGAGGGGGGAGAAAGAGAGAACATCAAAAACATGTGGGGCTTAGAGAGCCCAAAAAAAAATGAACCTTTGATACAATTTCACACACACACACACACACACACACACACACACACACACACACACACACACACACGGTTGTAAAACCAGCTGCACTTTAAAAACCAAAACTATTTTTCTTTCTCATAGAGAAAATGAACAGGGATACTTTTTGGATTCAGAACACATGGAGTATAAAACACTGAACAGCGATAAAAGACTTGCGTATTTAAAAAGCTAAATTCTGTCGTGTTTCCCTTGCTTTAATAGGCATTCTCACTCTCTCCCCTTCCAAGCCCTTTTCATCCATCCACATTCCCACAGCTCTTTCTCTCTCACTCTCTGACAGATGGGTAGGTAATGAGTTTCGCCTTTCCCCGTCCAATCGTCTGGGCACCAAAACCTGCCCCCCACGCCAAAAATGCCCTTTTAATTTAGCCAAGCGCTGAGTACAGGGATATTACTGTTTAGATACACGCACTAGCACACACACACACACACACACACAAACACACCTCCCCTGACTCCTAGTTGGGTGGGTATGAAACCTTCAATGTCTCATGTGCTAGCTATTAAAGAGCCTGGTTTCCCCCTCACCCAGTCCACCCAGCTTTCCTCCCCAAGTGGTACTCAGGGCTCTTTTCTGTGCATGTTCAAGAGGCCAGTGTTGGCTTTCAAAGTAACCATGGCGGCCATTTTTAGAACAAGGCCTCTGTGAGGTTGCCCTAGAAACCCCTTCTGACCGCCCTGGTGAAATCACACTTGGCCCAAAACACAGAGGAAGCAGGCAATGACAGTGTGTGAAAGAGTGAGTGAGAATGAGTGTGAGTGTGAGTGTGTGTGTGTGTGTGTGTGTGTGTAAAGCTAGCTAGCTTGCTAGACAGCTAAACAGACAGACAGATAGATATCCAAAAATGTCTGTGGACCACCCACACTCTTTGGGTGACCCACATCAAAGCATTCTTTCATATTGCACTTCGATCTTTCATTCTCAAATTGTGTAAGTGCAGATTAGCCAGTATGTGACGTCTTGACCAGCTATGACCACTTCTGCTTATTCCAAAAACAAGGGCCCCCCTGAAATGCCAGATTTGTGCTCTTATTTCAGGGAGGAAAGACTTGGGCTAAGACCTGCAGCTCCTTCAACGTACGTCTGCTGTGACGGAAGAATGCCACCTTTATATGCTCCCTATGAAACAGGATTTAGCTTCCCACATGAAGGCAGTTGGTGGGGAGAGGGGGTTTGCTTCACTAAGCACAAAAGTGCCCAGTGTTCCAAAATCAGTGAACTAAATTAGATTGAGCAACATACATATATTTCCGCAATCAAATTAAGATTCCAAGTCAATGGAGAAAATTCAGGCCCAGCAGTGGGAAGGTCATTAAGTTTATTGGCTGAATTGGTCCATGAGTGACTGTCACCTAAATCTAATATGGCACCCTGCAGTTCAGACAGCACTCATCCTGTGTGTGTGTGTGTGTGTGTGTGTGTGTGTGTGTGTGTGTGTGAGAGAGAGAGTTTGTGTGTGATTTATTCTGAAAAAATGATGCATTTGAATGAAAAAACAAAAGACAACAAACAAAACCAAAAAAAATAAAAAGAACCAAGATTAAACAAATGGGCCGGTATGAAAGCAAGTTAACAAAGGCAAAGAGGGAG